CATAGGGTTGGCTGATGTATTGAGCTATGAAGTGGAGTGATTAAAATGATGGACTTGTTAAACCATAACCGCTAGCTCGAATGATAAAATGCTTCCGTTCGCAAGCGCTTACTTTGGTCCGGTTAGAAGTTGCATCGGGGTCGCACGTGACTTATTCCCGCCCACAATGGAAACCCGCGCCCGGACGCGACAAGTGGGGACGAAGCGAGATACCTTGGCCGCGCAACTTGAAGAGGGCAAGTAGCCATCAACGTATCGACTTTTATTATGTCATTAATCCTATTAGGTCCCTCGCCAGACCCTACGCTATCTAGTACCCGGCGCTCTCAACGAGCCGCACAACACGCGAGTTCGATGTCCAAGAACCTCTGGGAACGACGTGTGGTTATTGCCCAAGAACGAATAACGCAGCTAGAAGGTCAGATAGTCGAGCGTGATGCAACGCACGCAAGGGTACAGGCAGAGAACGCCAGGTTGGTGGAGAAGGAGAAGATTGCTAGGGAGGGCAAGGTAGCTCTGGAAGGGACAGTTCGGAATCTCAAGGTGAGTTAGTTTGGAGTCTTTTTTTCTTTCTAGTGGAGCAAGCTAATTGTGGTGAAGCAAGAAGCCGAGTCGAGCAAAGCTGCGCTAGTGGCGCAAGTGCGCGAGCTCAACGCAGCCAATGCTGAGATTCAAGACGCCCAAGAATCGCTCACGGGGACTATACAATCCCTAAAATCTACCAAATTGCTGCTCGAGCGCAAGGTACGTTCCTACTACGATGTTTCTCGGGGTAGCCTGTGACGCTGACGTTTCGCCAGTTGTCCGCTACGGAAACAGAGTTGCATGCTTCTCAAGCGCAGGTTACGGCAGGGCAAAATCTGACAGTCTCGCTACGAGCAAAACTGGAGGACGCACAATTAGAACTTAACGGCCTCAAGGCGGGTGGCGCTGGTTCTGCTGGGGCTGGGAGGGACAAAGAATGGGCGATCATTAAGGAAGAGCTCGCTCGTACGTATCTCCTGTCAGTTTTGTGCGCTCTGCGTTGTATCAACCGGTTGTTTGGTATAGGTCAAACCTCTCATATCACCCAACTTACTCGACACAACGCCCAACTCACACGTCAGCTCCAGGAACAAACCAATGCGGAACTCGTTCGTGAAGAAAACATTGGACTCAAAGCTAAAGTCGCGGAGCTGACCGCCGAGGTGCAACGGATGGCACGTACCGAGTCTGAGCTGCGCGCTTCCGTTCGAGCCAAGGCGACTTCGGTGGAGAGCGAGGGGAGAATTAGGGAGAGGGAAGCGAGGGAAGCGGAATTGGCGAGATTGAGGGTGCAGAATGCTGCGTTGTTGGATGAGGTCGGGGAGTTGAGGAGTGCGAAAGGGAAGAGCAAGGAGTCAGGAACGAAGGATGTGCTTGTAAAGGAGGGAGAAGATGGAGAAGACGAAGATCCTGAGGCGCAGATCGCTGAGCTGGAGGCGGATGCGGAGAGGTTACGTGGGATAGTTGCTGCACTGCAAGTCAAAGTGCGGGTGGGGTCTGAGGAGAGGAAAGTCTTACGGGGTATTTTGGTGAGTTTCTACTTCTACCACGTTCATTGAGCCAATTCGCATGCAACTCTGGACAAGCTATCTTGTTTCTTGGGCCCGTATTCATTCTCGTTTCGCCGCTATCTCGCCGTTGCCTATCGGCTCTGACCTTTATTCTCTTTTACAGTCATCAACTTACCCCGACACAGAGGGAGCTCTCACCGCACGCATCGAACAATTGGAAAAGATGCTAGAACAAAAAGACTCGGAAAGTGGAGGTGAATATTTTATTTATTTCTCCTTTTCCTTCAAAGGGTGAGCTCGACGTCACCACTCACGCTCATTTTCAATTGTAGTCGACCTCGGAGACATGTCGATGCGTTCCCAGGTTGGTGATGCTACATTTAGCACTGTTCGCTGGGAAGCTGTGCGGGAGCGCGAGAAACGTGGGAAGGCTGAAGAGGGTGCGTCGTCGCAGATACAACTTTTGGATGGAAGATTAATATACTCTCACTCCAGAGATCGCCGAGCTAACGGCTCAGATCGAAGCACATGAACAATCCATTGAAGCGCTCGAACAAACGCTATTCGAGTTGAGGGGAGAGGTAGCTGCCGGAACACATACTCAGGTACGGATTTCAAAAGCCAGTTTCGAATGGGTTGCCGAATATTGCTTGTCTTCCAGCCAGGAACTCGAATACTACAGCTAGCGGATAACCCCGAGGCACGTTGGTTCGCGATGAGGGAAGAGGAAGTCGGGCGAATGCGTGAAGAGATTACCGCGCTTCGGGGTCGAGTGACGGCAGGGCAAATTCAACAAAGTTCCAGTGGGGACGATGTTCCAAAGGAGACGTATGAGAACTTGCAGAGGGAAAAAGAGGAGCTGGAGGAAGTTGTGAAGCAGAAGGAGAAGCGGCTGCTGAGGCTCAAGTCGGTGAGTTTGTTCGGGCTCACCAAAAAGGTTTACCCAGTCAATAATTAAACATGGCTCGCCCATTAGGTGTTCCAATCCAAAGCCGTAGAATTTAGGGACTCGATTTCCTCCCTCCTCGGCTACAAACTCCACTTTGAACCTAAACACGTCCGACTGACAAGCGTCTATGACCGAGACATTGACCTGAAATTCGCATCGGGGGGTGGAAACCAGGCTAGCATGGGTGTAAGTCTGGTTCCTTGTCCATTTTCCCTCCCCCGCCCTGCTTTTCTTCTCTTCGTATATTCATCTCGCCATTTTGCTTCTCTTAGCCAATCCGAATCGGCGGCGGCCAGAACAAGGAAGATATTGAAGCGCAAGTGCTAGAGCTCAAGACACTCTGGGTGGACCAAAAGCAGAACGTGCCGTGCTTCTTGGCGAATTTGACGCTATACGCTTACGAGCGTGCTGAGATGGGGTTGAGCGATTGGGCGGGGTTGGATGGGTGAAGCGAACTGCCTATGGGGCGGCTGGGCTTTTGGATTGATGTTCCGCTTCTTTGTAGCTTTTATTGAGTAATAAGTGCCGTTGACCCATTCACGAGTTATTGCCTTTCGGGTGGCTGCTCAGAACTAGCCAACCGAAGTACCTTTATCACTACTGTGGATGCCCCGCAAATCGTCCCAGGGGCTAGGGGCGACTTCGGGTGCAGGTGTATGTTATTACCGCAGTTATTGTACCATTCGCCTACGAGGTGCAAGAGCCCCAATGATCGAGGCCAAAGCCCAAAATTAGCGCCCAAGCATAGAGATTTCCCGAACTCCATAAAGGCAAACCCGGGGCTCTGGTTGATCGGGCACACTCATGACCAGGCACGTTCCTCGTGATCAGGCACGAGGCCCCTCGGATATAAATACACCAATACGCATGGGCGCCAAGACAAACAGCTCCCGCTGACGATCCCCGCCCGCTTTATCCAAGCAAAATCCACATCTAAATATATTCACACAGCGTGATGAAACAGAGCGGCTGATGGCTACAACGCAAAACAATAGATATCGTGCCCATGAAAAATGAAAACAAGCGCCCACGCAAGTCCATATAAGATATCGTGACTGTCGTGATGAGTCGCCCTAGACGTTGGAATGGCCGTACGAGTGGTGGGGCCCAGAGAATCCATAGTTCTCTTTGCCGTCGTGGTGGGCCGTGAGGTTATCGGTGCTCTGGCCGAGAGGGTGGTGCGGGTAATATGTAGCGCCTGCCGAGGGCGTCGTAAAGGCCGCGCTAGTGCTCTTGTGGGTATGGCGATACGACTGCTCGTTGCTCAGTTGTTCAACATAGCGCGAGACGATCAATGCACAATAACCGTGCACGAGTAGGGTAACCGCAAAGACGATAATGTACCCAATCTTCCATGCCTTGGTCGCAACCTGGCACGCATTAGCGATTTGCTTGTCGGTGAGACCGGTCCCCTCGGCTTTGACCTCGTTGATGCATTTCTGGATGTTTTCGTCGTTTTGGCGGTAGAGGGTGTAGATGAAGAAAGCTCCCGATGCGAGTTGGAAGCCGACCATGTACCAGAGGGCTTGTGCGTAGGCCGAGACGAGTGAGCGTTTACGGGTGATGGCACCGATGAAGCTAGGAGGCGTAAGCGTTGGGCAGAAGAGAACGATAGACTAAGCGCTCACCCGAGGATCGAGAGGAAGAAGAGGAACGTGTATATGGATCCGGCTACGACAAAGGCGACTTCCTGTGGTTTGTCGAGAGACGCATGGCTACCAGTCTTGGACACTGCACAAGCCGATAAGCTTCCGACAAACGAGCAGATGGAAAGCACGTACTGTATACCGCATACCAGATCACCGCGGCATATGCGCCGGAGCCGATGATCGAGCCCAGCGAGAGGACAAAGACACCAAGGCGGACGGGCAAGCAGCAGCAGAAATGGCGTGTAGGAGACATGAGTGGATCAAGTGAGGCTCGATGGGAGACGGTGGAGCAATAGTCTGGGCGCTGGGGAGATTATATCTCTACCCTCGCGGTCGTCGCCAAATCGGGCTGTGCTCAAATTAGCAACACCGAATGCAGGTGATTGGTCGTCGTACTGCCACACCAGTCTTCTCGCCGTCAGGAGCGGTTCAGACCTGTGCCTTGTGTTGATGGGTTAATAGAGATATGTCCATCTGTCAGGACCGGATTCCGGCTATGTTACCGTGATAAGGAATCGTACTGGACTCCCCTGTCCGAAAAATTGCGCAATTCGCTCGACCGGAGAGTGAAGACCGGGACGGAAGCACCTAAGCATTGGAGTCGCGTTGTTCGTTGATATGACTGCGCTTCGTTCCTTCCTGATATCGGTCGGTGCGGCAGTGATGGGACATCGTTCGCCGACACGCGCAATGACATGGTTCTCGTCGGAGCCGTGGAGCCAGAGAAGTGTCCGAGGCGGACGAGAATCATAAGAGAGAACCATAAGAGCTGTGTTGTTACGCCTGTTGTGCGAAGCAGCAAGGTTTCGTTGCGAACCGTAGGTTTGCAATGAGGAATGAGTTAGGCGCCGAAGTTAGGAATATTACGCCTTTATAGCTCAGTGGTAGAGCGCATCACTCGTAATCAGCTTATGCAATTATTACGTAAGCTTACTAATGATGAGGTCCATTGTTCGAATCAGTGTGGAGGCATCATTTTTTCGCCTTGTGTTTGCTCCATTTTTCGCCCGCTGAGGCTGCTGGACAGTCCCTCGAAGGCAGCAGCGGAGGCCCAGCCATATTCCAATAAACCCGAAGGAACGATGCAGCTGCAAATACGCAGCAAAACCGGTCGCTTATTGCCTGGTCAACCTTCCCTCGTGTCAAAGCCAATTCAGAATCGATTGTCCAAAAAGCTCCCGCAGGTTATAGAACACGCGAATCACCATCAACTGCGTTGATAGCAGCACAGCTTGCGACACAAAACCAAAATTCACACCTTGTTCGCATCGTTGCACCATCACCGCCTCATCACCCACGACACAGCACGTCACTCGCCGTACGCCACACGCGCAGCGCAGTACGCCACCCTAGGCAAAGCCACCCAACGTCACGGCGATCATCGTCAACCACCAGGCCCTAAACAAGCTCCCGAAACCCTCTTCGTCGATCATCCTCCTCGCACAGTCGGCCAGGCCAAGATACGGATCTTCCTCGCTCCTCAGCGCAATGACGTCCTCTTCTTCGCCGATATAGTCTGCAGCGGGGTCAGCCATCCCGTCGATTGCGCAGTCCGCGTCGGTCCGCGGGTGGTTGCGTTGAACGCTCAGTCGCGTCGCGAGGACTTCGAGCGGGCAGAGTATGGCAGTCGACGAGGCGGAAAAGAGCATAAAAATGGTGAGGTTGGTCATGTTGAGTCGTTTGGTCATGTGGTTTTGGTCGTCTGTGTCGTGTGCGCTGCTGAGGCCGTTGGCGAGCTGTGGGCAGATTAGTTTGTGGAGGCGATAGTCGGACGGGTAGACTTACAGATGGGAGAAGCATAGCGCGAACGACGCGAGCGACAGCGACGACCCAAATGAGGATCAACATGCTAATATTACGTACGTCAGATCAATGACGCAGTCCGATTCAAAATCACCCTTACCGAGCAGCCAAAAGACCTGGCGTCAGATACAATACCCACGGCTTGCGACGCTCAAACGGGGTTAAAATAATCCGTAACGCCTCCATTGGACGGAACCATGGTAGCCGATGCGGCGTGCACACGGCCCTTGTTATCCGAACCGAAGTCAGTGCCCCGGTCTACGCTGAGTTCAATAGGACCGACCTGTTGAATAGAATTTCGTACGGGATGCCGACGACCAGCGCGCCCATGCCGTAGAACAGACCTCGGAACACGCCCGTGGCGGGTACGTGCATTTGCGAGCGGGGTTGGTATTTGGCGTGGCCTGGGATGGTGAGGACCGCCCAGAGAGTGAGAAGCATCGTCGAGATGAACGCGGGCACTGATATCCATCCCACAATTAATCGTGCGTCACCTCGAACACAAGACAAAGACTTACTAAACCCCTTGTACATCCCCGGCCATCCCTCCAAACGGTAAATCCTCCGCAGCATGTTCAGGATTCCATTCACCGCGGGGCCGACGCGCGCCTCGGGCGCAACGTGGCTGCTCCCATTTATATCTTCTTCCTGGTTCAATTGAAGGCCTTTGGGTGTATAGTTTGCACGGAGTCTGTCCGAGGTCGTGGTCGTTAGGGCTAGTGTAGTTAGGCAAATAAGGTGAATACTCACCGAACGATGGCACCAGCAAGCGGAACCGAGATAGCAAGGCCAAGTCCAATGGGACCTATCATGGCCAACAAGAATACTACAGCGCCGAGTAGATTCGTCATCTTGGTGGTGGCTACCGACTCCCCAGCTGGAATCAAACTGTGGGGACGATGAGAGATACGAGAGAGATCACGACTCCAATCGATGTTAGTTTTATAGAGGTACACGTTGCCTCGGGGGTGACTCGGAGGTTGATCGTCTCCGGGCAGAGGTGGTGGTCTAATCTGGGTGTTGCGATAGCGCCGGGGCTGCGGCGCGGTGATTAGATAAGGTGATGTACCTTCCTTTGGAACTGTACAGTATCATGCACTCAGGCTGTCAGTGTGGGCATATACGACAAAATATATTGGGATATATTTACATGGTGGAGATGAGGTCAGTGGGTAGCGCTGGTCCTTTGGTAGGGTTGAGAGGGCGCCTGCGCCGCCAAAGACGGCCGGGACGACCGGCGCCCGAACCGCGAGCACGACTTACTGGGACGGGCGGGGAGACTGGCGGGGTCAGCGGACGGGGCGAGTAAGTGATGGGTAGAGGGTGAGGTTGAAATGAAGTGGGAGCGCGCAGGCGTGGAGGCGAGCTGGGGGTTGAGATCCGAGGAAAGAAGCCACGTAAAGTGTGGGTCTCGCTCCTGCTCTCAGTTCTATCCATGGCGCCTGCGGGGTAACGGTTACCTATAAAAACAAAGACCATAGATTCTACATACGTCAGAAGAATTACAATGAGGAAACAGCGGGTGAATCGATATAGATTTTCAATTATGTATTCCACGCGCGGCTCCCAACGCTCCTGAGCCTCACGAAGACTATTGAACACGTTGAATCAGCGTCGCTGAGGTCAGACGTACGATATATCCTCGAGTTTGGGTAGGTGGGTATATAACCACCTACAACAATTTAGTCACCAGTATTAAAACAAATCATCGAGCGAGCGTACCTAGTGGCCCCTCGAAGTAGAGAGATATCAAGTTCCGGGTCCCTCTCCAGATGTTGTGGGCAGCTGAGCCGCAAGAATCGGATATTGGACGAGTGCTCGGGGGGTGCGTCGCTCGAGTACCCGCGTAATTTGGGCACATTCTTCCACAGAAGCTCTACATGTAGATACTCTAGGCCCGGGATTTGGGATAAATGCAGCAGATCGTCGTAGTCCACCGCCTGGCTTGGTAGATACAGATTACGCAAGGTATCGCATTTTTTCAACACTTGACACGCTTGTTGGACTTCGCCAAATTGAACGTGCTGCAGACTCAGTGTTTCAAGAGGAAGCGAAGCGAGGGTGGCGAGGGTCTGAAGTGGTAGAATAGTACGCGCCCCCGCCTGTGCCTCACCAAAGTCGAGTGTAAGCTTCTGGATGTTTGGACTCCGTGTGCAAATGGTTGGAATGAATGACATGAAATAGTTGTTGTGGATCCGGGCAGCGCTGAAACCGCCATGAGCGTGCAGTTCGATGGTCAGGTCTGTCAGGTGGCCCACGAGTGGTGTGATCTTCCAAATATGGCGTACGTCGTCAACATTGGGAAGATTCAGCCACAAGGTGTAGAGAGATGTGAATAGATTTGCCGGGAGATCAGAATAATTGAAAATCGATAGATTTATGTCTTGAAATCCAAAGAATACGCTTATGCTTCCGAGGTTCGGGAGCTTCCCAATCGCATCGAGAGCCTCTGGGCGGAGTATATATGCGCTCGTAGCTAGGGTTTGTAGCTGGTATGCCCGCCGGAGGTAAGCATAGAAAGGAACTGTCCTAGTCTCGAGGCGACTAGAGCCAGTGGTAAGATTATCGACAGCATGTAGCTGAGAACCCGATCCACATGCCTTGAGACTGTTAAGCCCTCTGACAGGGTATTAGTGACCACTATCCCAGTTGTGCCTTCGCCAATGTTATCCGGGGTACCCTCGTCAGAATAACTGGAATCAGTATCCTGATCTCGGTCAAACGCAGAATCCATGTCGGTGGGAAAGAAAGTAAGATCTGTGACATTGGGACAGCGTGTGAAGATCCGTTTGAAAAGAGCTGCAGTGGCATTAGCAGTAATAGCGGTCTGGTATGGTAAATCGGGCGAGTGAATGTGTATTTGCCGGATATTTGGTGATAAAAATGGTGTGAGCCATGCGACGAGACATTCCCCATAATTCCAGGACTCAAAGAAAAGGGTTTGAAGATTTGGCAGCAAGACAGTTGATTTTGTATATTTGTTTAACGTGCTCCACTCAGAGAACAGATATGGGACTCCTTGACCTGGCGAGACCTCCAGGCTATAGACAAGGGGCGCATAAAATTGGAAGCGAGAAAGATTAGCTGTTTCCAAGTCCGGTATGCTCTGTTAATCTCATTAGTCATGTCCGTGATTTCCGGATCGCGTTAACGCACGAGATCAAACGCCGGCGCCATCCCAGAGTATTTTTTACACTTTGCGCCTGGTATAAGTAAAAACAGGTTGTGGACCCCTCGTAGCTCACGCCATACAAGCTCGATGGAGGATGAGAAGCAACCCCATGATGTAGAGGCTAGATTGACGAGATCACGTTTGCTGATGTGAGGGGCGAGCAAAGCCACGAGTTCGGACATGCTGAGAACCCGAGTAGAACTACTACCAGTCATTCAAGGAAGTGGGTTTAACTAGAAATTTCGGCTCCGGCGGAAGTAGGAAACGCAGTGAAGGAAGCCCACATTCCACAAAGGCGGGCATGGGAATCCGGTCGATCTCAAGCACTGCCAAACAAAGAACGCCACTCTAATTTGTAACCCTTTCCTTCAATCTTGGAGATGTTATGCTGAGTATATGCGCTATAATCAGGCACTGGAACGATTGTTACACATTAACGCACCTCAGCGCTGGGGGGTACCCGGAAGATGTATAAGGGATGAGACCGGGTGACAGGGCAGCGCAAAGCCGGTGTAGGCTACGAACTAGGGGTCCAAGTTGGTCTGGGCATCCAGGTCGTACGTACAGGGGTTTCAAGGTGCTTGAGATAATGAATAAAATGGTGGTAGGTAGGATGCATAAATAGGCAAAGTCGCAGGTAATAACAAGCGATGTTTACGCGGTTCTAGGTTGGCGGTTGGATAATACTTGGTCAAAGGTATGTTCCGCACGCAATTTTCGTAAGTGTAGACCACATGCGCCAACTCGGAATTATACCAGCGAATAGAAAGTAACCCTACATTCGGAGCGTGTGCACGCGGATTACCCCATGAAACACAATAGGTCATGTTGTAAACTAACCGAGCAAGGCAAAAAACCAGATGGAGGGTGAACCTGACGAAGAGAAAGACTAAATTAATGCGCATATCAATCATTTTAACGGAAGCAACGTCATACGGACTCACGAAGGAAGATGACGAAGCAAGCGACAAGCAAATCGAGCAGGCATGCGTCCACA